TCCCCGGAAGCGAAGGGGGGAAGGAGACCCCCGGTAAGGAGGGGGCTGGGCGTGGGAGGAGGGGGTGGGAAGGACCCCCGGAGGGGGAAGGAAGCTGGTGGATCCCCAGGGCCCCCAAGTGACTCGATCTATGCGTGGTCTCCTTACCCTTCCCTACCCGTATTGCCCACCCAGGAGGAGGGAGAGAGACCTCTCCCTTGTTCCCCGATTGTAGCCGAGGTGCAGGTCGCAGCCGGGCCCCTCTCTGCCCCCCCCCCCATTGTCTGGGTGGGAGTGGGCTGCCTGGAAAGAGGCAGGGAAGGAAAAGCGAAAGCGGGAAACTGAGGCATTTTCAGCCCTGAAGCCCCAGAAGGAAAAAGAGCCAAAGAATTTTGGCTTCTGCAGAAACTTCGCTTTTTCTTCTGAATCTCAGATTTGAGGCTTTGGAGGTCAGGCAAGAGGGGAGCTTCGGTCCCTTCTGGGGGAGGCTCCGAATTTGGGGAGGGGACCAAGAATCCCACCCCCATAATCCCCCACTTGCTCTATCGGGACCTGGAGGGGGAGGTGGAATGGAGGGAGTGGGGGCTCTGAGTTGCTCCCCCGAAAGTGGCTCCCCCTTTAGTGAGGGGGGGCTGGAGACCCTCCCTTTGAGAGGCTCTTGGGGGGGCTGCAAGGGGTCTTTTGCGGGAGGGGAAAAAGAAACAGGTGGGGATCTCTGACAATCAGCCAAACGGAGAGAAATGGGCTGAAGATTTGGGGAAGAAGAAAAGTTGGGGGGGGGGGAATCCAGGGAAGGGGGGGTTGAAGGGCTGAGAGAGTTCAGAAGTGGGAGTCTAGATGTCCTCCTGGTGCCCTTCCCTCATTTCCCCCCCAAAGGAAGAGAGAGCAGGAGGTGTGGATATTACCTTCCCTCCAGCCCTTCCCCCACCGTTCCTCCCCCTGGAGGGAAGATCTGCTCAACCAGTGGAGCTTCTGCCTGCCCCCCTCCCACCCCGCAGAAGGGATGGAGGGGGGTCCCTTAAGGAGGCTCCTCCCCTCCTCCTTTCTTTCCTTCCCCCAGTCCCCCTCCAGTCTGCCTCCTCCTGAGAGTGAGAGAGTCCCCCCACCCTCCCCTCTTTCTGGTGGGACCCTCCTCTTCCTCCTCTACTAGTGGCTGGGAGCGATGGGCTCTGGAGTCCATCCTGACAGCCTTCCTTCTCCTCCTCCTCCTCCTCGCAGCCCATTTCCTGGCCCAGTGGAAGATCGAGTGCCTTTTCCTCAATGGGACACAGCGGGTGCGGTTCCTGTTCAGGCAGATGTACAACCGGCAGGAGCTTGTCCGCTTCGACAGTGACCTCGGGAAACATGTGGCCATTACGGCATTGGGGCAGGTGGATGCGGACTATTGGAACGGAGATAAGCAGGTCATGCAGTACCGGAAGTCTGCTGTAGATTCCTTCTGCCGATACAACTACTTCGAGTTGAACTTCGAGGCGGCCAGGAGGGAGGAACGAGCGATCGGCCGGAGAAGTGAGACCTGGGGGGCAGGAGGGTCTCTTCTTCCCTGAGAGGGGGAGGTCGGCACCCCGCTTTCCCTTCCTGGCCTCCCTTGGGGATTCTCCTCCCAGGTGATGGTCCCGCCTCCTTCTTCCTTCTGCCCTCTCAGAGCTCTGGAATCTCCCTCTTCCCCCCCCCCCACCCCCGGATCCGAACTCTCCTCCTGTCTGGGATCTGGGATCCCTTTGATCCCCCCAGGAAATCCACCCAAATCTATGATTTTCTTCTTTGAGGGGAGGGGAATCCAGCCAGGTCTCTCTCTCCCTCCCTCCCTACTTCTCAATAAAGGGAGTCCTCCACTTACAACATTTCACTTAGTCACAAGGGCAGTGAAACTAATGACTTCTGATTGTGTTTCACACTTATGACCATTCAGCCTCCCCAGGGTCCCCTGAGCCAAATCCAGGTATTTGGCCACTGATTTGTACTTGTGATGTTCACAGTGTGCAGGGGTCCTCGGAACCCCTTTTGTGACCTTCCACAGGGAAGCTAGATTCACTTAACAACCATATTACTCATTCAACAACTGCAGTGATTCACTTAATGACAGGGATAAGAAAGGTCACAAAAATGAGGCAAAGCTCATGGAACAAACACCTCACTTAACAACAGAGATTCTGGGCTCAATCGTGGTTGTAAGTCGAGGATTGCCTGGATGTTCACATCTTTTTCTCCCTGATTCCTTTTTCTCCTCTTCAGGAACCGCCTGTTTCCCTCCCTCTTTCCATCCAGAAGC